GCTCATGAGAGTGTACTCTGCGTCGAAGGTCTGTTGATGACCGACCCCTGGACCGACGTCCTCGACCTGCATCAGCTGAACCCCATGCCCACCACAAGGCCCGCGGCGACCAATCTAATTGTACGACCCCAGCACATATTGCGGCACGGAAGAATACCCCACCCACCAGCAGCAAACATGAACGCGCAAGAGCCGCATGTACGATGCAGAGGAAACGGAAACCTCTCACATGAGCGGCCACTATGAGGGCACGCGGCTCGTCTCTCGCCCACGATGCGCCTTCTATACGCCAAGACATACGAGCTCCATGAATTCTTCGCCGGGGACGTGCCGCCCTACGCGATCCTGTCGCACACGTGGGCCGACGATGAAGTGACCTACCACGACATCAAGAACATCACCGGCTGGGCCAAGCCGAAGAAAGGGTTCCCCAAGATTCAGTGGGCGTGCCAGGAAGCGACGGTCAAGGGCATCGACTACGTCTGGGTCGACACGTGCTGCATAGACAAGTCGAGCAGCGCCGAGCTCAGCGAGGCCATCAACTCGATGTACCAGTGGTATCGTGACGCGCAGGTCTGCTACGCCTACCTCGAGGATTTTCCGGCGCAGGACCAGCCGGTTAAGGCAGTCGAACCGGGCCAGGTCAGAAAGGTGGACTACACCGTCTTCCGGCAGTGTCGCTGGTTCACGCGGGGCTGGACGCTGCAGGAGCTCTTGGCGCCGCCGCTCGTCAAGTTCTTCTCGTCCAACTGGGTGTCGATCGGCTCGATAGGCGTGGGCCGGTCCAAGGCGGCGAGCGGCAAGATCACGGACGCGCTGACGGGCGCGACGGGCATCGACGGTGCCTACCTCACGCACAGCCTGCCCCTCGAGGATGCGAGCGTCGCGACCAAGATGTCGTGGGCGTCGCGGCGAACGTGCACGCGCGTCGAGGACACGGCCTATTGCCTGCTGGGCCTCTTCGGCATCAACCTGCCGCTGCTCTACGGCGAGGGCAAGCGGGCCTTTCAGCGGCTGCAGGAGGAGATTTGGCGCGAGACGGACGACCACTCGCTGCTCGCGTGGACCGTCGCGCCCGGCGACCCGCGCGCCTGGTCGCTCGGCAGCGTCTTTGCCGAGTCGCCGCTTGACTTCCGCTTCGCCGGCGCCATCGCCCGCACCGGCGACGAGCGCGGCGTGCCCTCGGCCATGACCAAGATGGGCCTCAAGCTCGACCTCGTCAGCGTGCCGCGGCCGCACCCCGAGACGTCGTTCCTGTTCGGCCAGCCGACGCATACGCTGCTGCTCAACTGCCGCCTCGGTGACCGTCGCCTTGCCGTGCTCGCGCTGCTGGATCTGCCGGACGGGCCGTTTGAGAGGCCCTACACACTGTTCACGCGCATCGCGACACCGAGTCAAGTTCGCGAGTCGCTACCGGAGCGGGGTTCGGACACGTCTGATGGCATGCCGCGAGACGTGCACGAAGGGGCGGAACTCGACACGGTCATCGTGCGCAAGAATGTCACGGGACGCCGCAAGGCCGTGCTGCACCTCGAGCCGGGCCACGCCGAGGTCATGCTGCACGGCATGCTGCTCGACGAATTCCACTTGAGCTCCCACTTTGACGCCCTTGACACGTCGATACCGGTCTCTGCCAAGTACAGCTACAAGGCCGCGCAGACCATCGCCATCCAGGGCGGCAACGACATGTGCCAGCCGCTGACGCACCTCGAGTGCCTGCTGGTGCCGAGGGCCAGCGTTGGCAGCGAGGGCAACACTCGCGAGCTGATTGTGCTGAGCTGCGTCATTGGCATGCCTGGCGTCGGCGACCGCGCAGGGTGGAAGATTGCCATGGCGTTCAGCCGGTTTTGTTTCGAGGATGGGTCGCATCAATTCTACAGTGGTGTTGATTCAGATGCGGCGAGGGCTTTGCCTGAAAAGTCACGAGAGGATGCAGGGCCCGAGGCGCCGGATCTCTTCTTGATGGACGTCACGCCTGAAGCCCCTTGCGATGGGATGGATCTTGAGGGCCTGGCCTTCCAACGGTTCCGACAAAGCCTGACGGGTCATTTCAGTCGCATACAGAAGAGGGCGGTCAACATCCGAGGTCTGCTGACGACGGCGAGGATTGAAGTCAATGGGAAGGGTACGCTGGTGGCCCAGCTCTACCGAGATGGGGATCGGGGGGCCGAGACACACACGCCCGAGGGTCGGCACGGGTTTACGGTCCTCCTTTCGTTGGAGAGTCAAGGAACGGCGGCTGCATAACGGGGGGCCCAGCGTTTTTGTGCGGCAGATCGTGATGGGCATCTCGATCTTGCCACGAGAATTCCGGTGTGAACGACGGCCGAGGAACCAGGGCTTGCAAGGCGAATTCGAGGGGGCCGAGAAGAAGAAGAAATAATGATACAGTCGTCCGATGCTATGATGGGCTCCGCAAGCCGGCAGCCGTGCTCCTCCATGGAAAGCCGAGTGATACCTGCACCGGCCTACTATTCCTAATACAAACCAGTACACTTGAATTTGAGTAGATCCTTGGCGACGACTTCCTTCTCCATGGTCAGCAGCTTTGGCAGGTCCCACATGGAGCTGACCCAGCGGCCGCCGAGCCAGTCACGCTTCTGGCTCGTCAGGAAGGGCAGTGAGTGGCCGATGAGCTCGGGTGTTTCTGTGAGCCGGACTGCCGGGCGTCAGCAATGCTCCGCGAACCCTTTGGTGAAGTGGACTTACACTTGTACTTCTCTGGCAGCTTGGCCGACAAGCCCGTTGACACGGCCCCTGGGTGGACCGAATACGCCAGCACGCCCTGGCAGGTCAGTCTCTGCACTTGTTTCTTCAGGGTCAATAAGGAAAACCGACCTGCGATGCATATTCGTCTTGCAAGAATTCGGTCAACCGCACGAGCGCAAATTTGCTCAGAGAATACGCCCCGCTGCCGCCGCCGATGAAATGGGCCGCGATGGACGTCAGCGTCACGACGGTCCTGTCGCCGCCACCGCTGATCATGATGGGCACAAAGGCACGGCAGCAGCGGTACGTGCCCCAGTAGTTGACGTCAAAGGTGCGCATCAAGTCCTCCTCGTCAGCTTCGAGCAGCTGCGCAAAGGAGGCCATGTAGCCGGCGTTGCAGACGAGGATGTCAAGGCGGCCGGCCCATGCGTCGTCGAGACGGGCGGCGGCAGCGCGCACGCTGGCGGCGTCGGCGACATCCATGTCAAGGGCGAGAACTTCGGGGGCCGGATGTGACTCCTCCTCGGCGGCGGCGAGCAGGAGGTCTGCTGTCGTGGTCAGGTCTGTGCGAGCAGCGAGGGCGATGCGCGTGGCGCCGGCGCGGGCATAGCCGATGGCAATGGCGCGGCCGAGGCCTTGACTTGCGCCGGTGATGAGGACTGACTTCCCTGCGTGGGGGGAGTGACGCGGGTGAATTTCTGGGTAGGCGTCATGGTGAATGTTGGGGCCGGTGAAGAGGTCGACTGGAGTGCAGGTTAGCTGGGGATCCTCGGTGTGGTTTCTGGCGGAGCATCTCGTTCAGGTGTCATTGAGGTGTCGTCGAGATGGCTTACTCTGTCGAGGCGGCAGGCCCGAGGCGTCGGTTGTATCGTGTGAAGTGGCATTTTTGACTGTTCGACGGTTCGACGGTTCGAATTTCTTCTCTCTCTTTTCTACTTCTTCTCTTTCTCTCTCTGTCTCGAGGTACGACTCAGGAGGTTGAGAGCGTTGGAAAGGCCATTTGTGAGGTCATGTCACGGCACGCTTGATCCAGAGCCAAGACGTGTACAGCCACAATCGTCTGCGTCGACCAGCCAATGATGATGCAGAGACCCGTCGGCCTAAGATGAGACGGCGCAATCGTACAAGGCGGACTTGTTCCGGAGAATTGGCCAAGGATCGGTTTGCCGCGATGATGTGCATTGTCTTGACAAGCTCTGGCCTGCATCGACCTCTTCACTGCATCTGCGTTTGGTGTTGTTGGGTGTTGGGCTTTTGCTGCCTGGAGGCCCCTGCCTCGCCTCGCCGGGGGGGGGGGGATGTCCCTGCCTCACCTTGGGGGGTGCGCTTGCTTTCCTCGGTGCCTGACCTACAACACGCACCTGCCTCTGAGGCAGGTGTCATGGACCTTGGGTACCCACATCAGGCAGGTCGTCGCATGGATTACTAAGAAGTACATGTACGCCATCACCATGGGCACAACCCAATGAAGCCTGTCAGGCCGTCCAGCGGCCTCACTCGTGTCGTTCCAAGTAAATCGTCTCTGCTGGGCGCCTGACCTTCATCGCTTACATTTTTTCACCTTTCGTTTTAAGAGCACGGCTATTCACCCACGACAAATAGACCATCAACGAATGTTTTGATAAAGATGGTAATCGGCCCTGCTGGCTGCTACACCTCTCCCTGCACAAGAAGGCAACAATGAAAGTATTTACGAAGCCCAAAATGAACAAGGCCAGTCAGAAACCGAGGGATGCCTGGAAGTGAGGTCGAGAACCACAAGGGCTCGTCCGGGGTGTGGCCACACAACTATCCTCGCCCAACCTATTCGTGTATCTTTCAAGATCTCAAACACATAGCCGCCAGTGCTACCGATTGAACCTCGACGGCTGGCAAAGTCTGTCCTGCAACTCATCACTCCCTCTTCTGATGCAAGCTTCGCATGGTGAATTGGTGGAGGCCAGCCAGATCATCCATGCTCTTGACGGCGTGGACCAACTCCCCGAAAAGGGTGTTGTGCTGGTCACTCGTCTGCGCGCCGACCAGAACCATGAAGATCGTGCCGGTCTGTCCGCCAAGGCCCCGCACAGGATAATCGTTTTCAAGGCCCCAGCCGTAGCCCCAAGGAATTGAGCCTGGGTCGTCGGCATCGGCTCCTGACAGGAGATCCTTCACGTGCTGGGTCTTCTTGTCTTTCTCGTCGGCTGAGATGTCCGAGGGGAAGTAGCCGGCAATGATTCGAGTGATCGGCGACCCGAGCACATCTGTCGACGGCAGGACAGTAACGTGCTTGGTGAACTCGCCGTGGGTACAGACCTTGGGAATATCCTTGACAGCCTCGGCCCCGTGGCTTCGACATGGTTAGCGCGGGTTCTCAATGACGGCGGGTGCGAAGGAGCCAAACGACATACGTCTTTGCAAAGTCGATGTGCTCCTGGACCGAGTTCCAGTCGAAAAACGCCCAGACCTTGGATGAGTCCTCCTCTTCGAGACCCCAGAAGATACGCTGCGGGCCGCCGGGCTTGGTGAGGACGGTCTTCCAGACGCCGGGGAGGACGGTGCCCTCCGGGGTGCTGGGATCCGTGATCGACAAGCCAGGCTTGACGCCCATGCAGCCGACTTCAGTGATGGTCATGTTGGATTGCAAAGTTGTCTTGTCACTTTGATTGTGCTTGCTTGGTGGCATACCCGATGTTCTCGTCTGGGAACTACGAGATCGCTTATATGTCTCCGGAATTGAAAGGCTGCCTAATTCCACGCGTCAATGTGAGCATAGCAACGCAATCGGATGACGATGCGCATATCTGACACTGGGTACATTTACAAGCTAGGCAGACGTGCACGCTTCCACACTGCTGCCCGAGGCGCATCCTGTTCCATTGTTGGACATTCCCGGATAAGGTCGATAAGCTTCTCGTAAGTGACGTGAATAGGCAGCAGGTAAAATATGTCAAACTGGATCAATTCGATGTCCTCTCAAGACCTTCCGTGGAACTTGCGGTCTCGGGCGGAAGTTTACGGTCGCCGAAATGTGTCAAGACTTCGAGATCTACACGCGTGAGTGATAGGCGCGCATGACATGGTCGCAGCTGCTTCTATTGGACAGGGTCACAGGGAACCCGACCAGCTCGGTATAGCTCATGGCAAAATTTGAGACGATAATCTCGGCGTCGAACGAGTGAACATGGCATTCGCGCAGAGGCGTCGTTGAGGTTGTGAGCAAGACATTGGGACTGCGAGAAGGCTTGCGCGACATCTTCGCAAACACCAACCCAACGCCGGCTGCCAACAATATCTAAAGATCTACCCCTGCGGACAGCCGATAGAACTGAGCGTCCATCCGAAAGCACTGAGGAGTCTTTATTGAAGAGATCGACTCACGGCTCCGTAAGCTCGAGTACTTGGACCTACGCCCCAGAGCTCGATCAAGAGAACAAACAGCTTGGAGCTGTCCATTCAGCACCGCTACAGCAGAGGTTGGCGCAGGATTTGCAAGCAAGCCATGCCAAATCGGACCAAATGTGTCACTGTCAAAAGGGTGGTTTGGCAATGAATAATGGACAAGCAATACGTCTGATGGCCCCTAGGTAGCTTCGGAGACGTGTGATGAGCCCTGCCATTCTTCTTCTCGTCTGGACCTCTGACCGTATAGATGTATACATGATACTGCAGACGCTCGTCACCCTGAGCTGCCGGTGAACTCTAGGCTTTCGGCCTTGGACCCGTCGTCATGACACCAAAGGCACAAGATTGACGAGCGTCCAGCCGGACTTTTGAGGGGAGACCCACACATCTTCGGGAAATACAAGGCATTGACAAATTAGCTTCTCGGGCCTATACGGTAAACGAAGACAAACCGAGCAGCACTGAACGAACGAGACTAAAAGTCCAGGTCTTCCGATAAAGATCATTCCCCATCACCCCCATTCCCGGGGTTTCGGGCGTCCGAAACTGCGAAACAACGGCCCACCTTTGCTGACTTGGTCTACCTAATTCCGCGCCATCTCCATCATCCAACGTCTAGACGAATCGTGCATTACTAGCGTGAAGGGGCAATCTGCGATCTAGACGAATCTTGCATAGTCCGCTTGTCAGGGGTACGTTGATAATGATTGGCATGGCGCGCCTTGGCTTCCCTCAGCACTCTCACGGAACCCATCAGAGCCCCTGTTGGCCATCCGTCCTCCCTCGACGTTACCTCTGTCCAGAATCAACGGGGCAGATCCACAACCATCCCGTGAACTTGTTTCTCCGTTATACGAAAGATGCATTCATGGTCCCACATCAGACGACGTGTGTTAAGATAGTGCTAGTATTGTTGTATTCTGCTACTCGATGTGATAAAACCCCCGAGATGCCACAATAATTCTTTCCATTGATTTGAACATGAGCAGTCAAGACGCGATCACAACATTTCCCTGCCTGTGAGAAAGGCACTGTTGTAGCCCCCAGTACAGCCATGGCGACACGTATCCAAACTCCCAATGGGTAAGACCTCATAGCGACAGCTGCCTTAAAATTTGGCATCCGCTGACTTCTTTTCCAGGCGTGAGTACAGCAACCCCGATTCTGGCAAACATCCCGACAGTCCGAACGGCACCCCAAGACAACGTACAACGACCACATCCAAAAAGGAAAACGGTGGGAAGAGTTCGAAGGAAGACAAGTCCACCGCAAGCCATTTTGGTCTTCAAGAAACAAAGGGCACCCAGCGTACATACCGCAAGGGTGAGCTTATCGATGGCTGGGAGGTCGGGACGAACCCCAAAGTCGATACCTCGGGTGTCTTCGAATTCGGAGGCTCAGCTGGTGTCTTATCCCTGATGATCGGGTTCCCCTTGCTGATGTGGTACATGTGGATTGGCGCCGCTTGCTATGACGGCAACATTCCCTGGCCTGAGGCGAACCAGAGCTGGGCAGAGTTTGGTCACCATCTCAGCCACCTTGTGTATACCGACGCCTTCCCGACCCTACGCGCTTGGCGCATCTACTGGTCATTTTTCGTCTTCGAGGCTATATCCTACTGTGTCTTGCCGGGAGTTTGGGGTTGGGGGAAGCCACTTCCTCACGAGGGTGGTAAGCAGTTGAAATATTACTGCAACGCCTACTTTACGTTTCACTTTACGATCGCTATTATGGCTGCCCTGCACTTCACTGGCATCTTTCGGCTATATACCGTTATCGACGAGTTTGGGCCTTTGCTGACGGTAAGCATCCTGAGTGGCTACCTTGTAGCTACTATCGCCTACCTCTCGACTCTGTTGAGAGGTGCGCAGCATCGTATTTCTGGCTATCCTCTTTACGATTTCTTCATGGGTGCCGAGCTCAATCCTCGCATGTTTGGCATCTTGGATTTCAAAATGTTCTTTATGGTGCGAATTCCCTGGTTCATCATATTCGGCCTCTCCTGCGGGGCCGCAGCCCGCCAGTATGAGAGGTACGGGTACGTCTCTGGCGAGGTGCTTTTCCTGGTGGTCGCGCACTACCTCTACGCCAATGCCTGTGCCAAAGGCGAGCAGCTCATAATATCATCTTGGTAAGTTCATTTCCAACTACAGGCGTGACCGTGCTAATATGAATAGGGACATATACTATGAGAAATGGGGCTTCATGCTTATCTTCTGGAACCTAGCCGGCGTCCCCATGTCGTATTCACACTGTACCATTTACCTGGCGAAACACCATCCGTCCGAGTACAAGTGGAACTCTGTCGCGCTCGTTGCCCTGTACATCTCGTACTTATTCGCGTATTGGATCTGGGATACTACGAATAGTCAGAAAAATGGCTTCCGAGCTGAGGAACGTGGTCAACTGGTCAGCCGGAAAACCTTCCCTCAGCTACCGTGGCAAACCGTCAAGAACCCCAAGACCATCACGTCGGACAAGGGAGACGTCATCATGGTTGATGGATGGCTGGGCTATGCTCGGAAGATCCACTATACGTGCGACGTCTACTTTGCTCTGTCGTGGGGCCTGATTACTGGCTTTCGGAGTCCGTTCCCTTGGTTCTATCCCGTCTTCTTCTCCATCATGGCCATCCACCGCGCTGAACGCGATCATCGCCGCTGTCGCGAGAAGTATGGTGAAGCATGGAAGCAGTACGAACGAGAGGTACCATATCTCTACATTCCGGTGAGTTCCATGGATTATCATGTTGAGAGAAGGCATGGCTAACTGATGATTAGTACGTAATCTGAGGGTCTGCCTTTCAGATGGTCTTTGAATCAACGCATACTAGGGCTGAAAACGGCAACGATCATCTTGATCTTTCATCGGGTCGGCGTTGCTGGTCAACATCCAGTGACACGGGGCAACCTAGGCAGAGAGCCGGTCCTTCCGACACACAGAAACGCCAGAGCCTCTCTCAGCCATAAGTCTTGGGTTTAGACCGTGACAAGCTAGGAAAGCTAAACATAGATAGAAAGAAAATCATGCCAAGTTGCGAATACTTTGCGTAACTAGCTGCATGAGCTTGATAGCCCGGGAACTTCCAGTAAATCCTCATCTTCACTCCCGGTAATGCTGGCAACAAGACCACTTCCAAAAAGTCAGGCCTAAAGCAGTGTGGTTTTCATACAACCTTTAAGAAACTTCAGTGACGTAACAATGCCTCAACTATGCGGACAAGCGGTTATAGAGCGGAGAGAACTGTTAAGGCATAGGTATGAACCCATCGCGGGGGGGCGCGCGACATAGCAAGTCGTGAGAATCCGAGCGGCCTACTCATCAGTTTGTCCCAAGGTTTGATCTTCTGTTGTAGTTTGAAATAATAGAGGATCGGGCGCGTAGCGCTCGGCTGTCTCAATCTCATCATTTTGTTGTGAAGCCTTCCTGACCAAGATTGGGTAGTAAGTGAACGAGAGTGCTTCTGGGCAGGCACACACATTAGCATCGCCAATCAACGCTTCGAGGCCTTCGACGCAAATCCTGAAACATGCGCAATGACTAGCTTCACCGACCTCATCTCATCAAACTTGTGGATGCTGGAACCATTCCAAAGCTCGGAGATCGTCGCCGTGGAGAATTTATCATGCACTTCTCAACGAGGATTTATTGTCAGCATGTGCAGATTAATGCAACACAGAAGGAAAGAA